TTCATTGTGTATAATCATTTTATTTGAAGCATTCTTTTGGCACTGTTTTGTTTTTGCCTTAAATTTCATGGGGACTACCATAAAATTCATTCTAAACATTTTATTGATTACTTGGTGGTTGTATTGCTCTCTTTGGTGTCGAACGAAAAATGAGAATTTCTATCTTTTAATTATGTAAAGATTTTGAAATAGAAATTCTATAGGAAGCCAGAGAATTGATATCTAAGATTTCTAAACAATGCATATATTTTATAACATACTTGACCCCTCTCATCCTTTGGCCCACACAAAATGTCTGAGAGTCCATTTTTTCAGCCATTCCTGTAATGTTCTAATTTATAAACTTTTTGCAATCAAATCCAGCAAATACCAATTTAACCTAATTTGAAAGATGCATTCCCATTTTATCGTTTCCAAACTGCAGAACTTCCATGGTTGGCTCTCAATGAAAGAATCTACATTACTGCCAATCATTCCAGGGCTCTTTCCCTCTATATGTATCTAGTGTGTCATCAATGCATGGGGACGAGTGTCAGCTGTGCTCCGCCATGCTTGGGACTCCGCCGACTGGGACAGCGATAGTATTAGGTTGGACTTACTGATCTCTGTTGCTATCACCGTAATGTTGTGCCACAGCAACGTTTCCCGGTCAAGAAGTTTTGATGTAAAAATCGAACCATTTCCAGAATCAATGTTGAATATTCTGTCCATATCTGTGTGTCGATCGACAGAATACCTAAAAATGCAGAGAGGAATTCAGAAAGGCTTTCTTTGTATTTGCTATTCTCACATCATAAAACCAATTCCAGAGTATCTGTGACATGAATTTTTTCTACCTGTAGTGTATATTTGAATATCTACAACTTAACATTAGGCAAAATATTCTGAGAAATTAGTTCTTTACAATGGAGGTCTTAATAGTAAACTCACTAGACAAACAAGTTGCATGATTTCGAGAATCACCACTAAAGTTTCTTTTCTTTATATGTAAGTTGGATCAAGTTTATGTAGGAATTGTTACATTTTTAATTCAATTTTTAGAACCTCAGAACTTCAATGCGTGTGCGTGTGTATGTGTGTGCATGCATAGGTAGGGTATTGGTTATTTTTCTATTTTATTTTAAAAATCATTCTATTAAAAGAAGCAAACTTTGGCTAGTGTGACTAAGGTCAGTGAGGCAGGAGAGGGAGATAGGAGATGAGACTGGGGAGAGGGCCAGAATCCAGACAGCAGGATGGGTTGGCCATGGCAAGGAGTTGGGATTTATTCTAAATGGAAGGTAAATCTACCAGCGGGTTCTAAGCAGAGGAGTGTCACAGTCTAAATCATGTTTAACAAAGACCACAGACTGAACTGAGGAGTATGGTTGCGCAGTTGGGCTATCACAAACTGATAGAAGAGGAGTGAAAAACAGAACTTGGGGAAGATCCTATGTTCCATTTTTGATACGCTGAGGCTGAGATGCCTGAGAAAAGTCTAGCAAGAGATATCTAGTCTTCAGGTGAAAATAAAGATCTGGACTGACACCCTAGATTTCCAATACAACTGTGTAGAAAGAGAATGTCCAGGGAAAGAAGAACAGCACTAAGGACAGAACCACTTGAAGAACCAATGCGAGAGCAGAGATCCACAGTGCCTGGAACGAAGTAGGAATTTGATAAATATTTAGGAAGGAGAGTTTGTATAAAATTGAAGAAAACCAAGAGTGGGATTTTGGAAACCAAAGAAGGACAGTCTTCTGTCCTGGTGGAAGATTAGTAGATTTTGAGAAATGTTATCTTATTTATAAATTTATTAATATTACTAGATTTTAGACTAGCTATGTAAGGGGACAAAGGACATGTGCATGTTTATTATGAGTGGGGGGTAAGGTATTAAAGAGAAAACTCTGAAGAAAGTTGATATGTTAAGGCCATTAGAAAAAAATACTGCCCATTTCAGCCAGATTTTTAAAATTTATATTGTGATATGAAGTTTAAAAAGGTTGGCTCAGTAGAAATACAATTTAAGTAAATGAGCTAAATAGCCAGACACATATGGAATTATTATGAATACTCTAAGAAAAATAAACCCTTGTTACTAATTTGCAATAGTATACCACGTCCAAGATTCTACTTCAATAAATTATTTTGGTTTAAAATATAAGTAGTGAATTATAATAAACAATATAGTTTATCTTCATAAAATTAATTTTTGTCATCTAGCGAGTGTCTAAATGAAATTTAGAGGTTTATTGTAGGCCATTTAAGCCTGACTTTAAAGAGAATTAACGATGTTCACAATGGGTATATATATCAAATTGGGTTGAATTTCAGTTTCAATGTATATAAAGTGATGCTTTTATTATCAAAAGGGTTGAAACAGATGAACCACCTATTGTTTTTGCCATTTGTGTCATGAATCAGCATTTACTAAGAATTTAGGCAACAGCATTGAACTTACTTGATCACTTCTCATTTTTAATTTGAGAATGATAAATATTTATAGCACATAGTTAATTACCAAAAAGGAAATCTCAATATTCATAGACTTTGTAAGAAATTTAATAAATATTTACAAACATTTTTTTCCTC